CCCGTCAAGTCATCTCTCTCTCCTCAGCCCAAAAGAGGAGGAGAAGGCGGTTGGTGCTAGTCCCTAGGCTCGCTCCAGTGTCGGCTCCAGCCCCAGTGCTCGCTCCAGTGTCGGCTCCCGCCCCTGAGTTCGCTCCAGTGCCAGCTCCTCGAAAGCGCCTTGCTATGCCTGCTCCTCCAGAGCACCCTCCAGTGCCAGCTGCTTGTAAACGCTTCCCAGTCCCTGAATCCAGCCCAGAGTGGGCTCCTGTTCCCGAATTTAGCCCACGGAGGGCTCCTGTTCCCGAGTTAGCCCAGAGAGGGTTCCAGCCCCCAAGTTTAGCCCAGTGAGGGTTCCTGATCCCCCGTTGAGCCCAGGTTTGGGCTCCTGATCCCCCGTTGAGCCCAGGGAGGGCTTCAGATCCCTAGTTAAGCCCAGGGAGGGCTTCAGATCCCTAGTTAAGCCCAGGGAGGGCCCCAGTCCCTGGTTTTGGCCCCGAGAGGGTCTTGGAGGCCGAGTATTTTTTAGTAGTAGAGCTCCAGCCATAAAGGCCAGGGTGGGGGCTGGGGCCGTGGCTTCGGAGGCTGCACTGCCATGGCCTCCTGTGTTCCCTACTCCGCCATGGCCTCCTAATCTGCCTGCTCCGCCATGGCGCCTTGAACAGGTACCACTCTGGAGGCCAGCTGTCCCATGTCTGTCCTGAGGGACCTCCAGAGCGCCCACCCCCCCTCCCCATTGGATGTTGTGTGGCGCGAGGACGCGCCTTCCGGGAGGGGGGAGTAATGTCAGACTTTGTTTTATGTTTTGCTCCCCATGTGTTTCCTTGCCCATATTTGTGTAGCGCCCCCCTACCTTCTTTTATAACGGTTTAGTAAGGAGCAGCACCAGGTTCAATAAACTAGTGCCTAAGAGATGTTGTATTAAGGCCACTCTGGCGTCACTGAATGAAATACTTCTCTTTTAGAAAGTTACTCAGAATAAAATCTGTGCTCACATAAGTTTACTGGTCAAAAATTAACTATTTTGAATAATTAAATTCTTTATATTTTTCTACTTCAATTGTTTTATTTAAAGTAGAATAAAAGAGTAGAAATAGTTGAAATTTCAAGTTGCAAAGTATTCACACAATAAAGTTGATCACAAGTTTGGTACAATTTAACCCCAAAAGGGAAATATCACAAATGAGAATTACTGAATTACAGAATTGACCTCTGTGTCAAGTACACTTCGAGTTAGTAAATTGAGCAAACTAACACACTTGAAATTAAATGTATAAAATAATTCACTTTGGGTGTCAAAATATCACTCTGAATGCTCACAGTTCCTAAGCGCGCTGAACCACACTATATGAACTGATATGTAACACTGTGGGCCCACACACACACACACAGTTAAAACACGCACACTCTCACAACCCACCCCAGAGCAGGCCTGAATCGTGGCTTGAGAACATAGTGGCCGAGAAACGGGAAACTGGCCTCTTCACTCTCCTGAGTGTAAAACAAAAGCAAACAAGTGTACCTGAATTCCTTTATGAACTGTGAAATGATCGCTAAACACCGTGGTAGGCCTCTTGCAGATCCTCATCCTGCACTGTCACTGGCAGCCGATGTGGGTCACACTCCAACGCAGCCAGAGGAACCCCAGACCTCACAGTGATCTGGGGCGATATCTGGTCTCCTTCGGGTCGATTACACGACGAATTCACGAAGATTTCAGTCCTCTTATCCTTTCTTGAAAGTTATTTTTGACGATAACTTGAAGCTCAGTCTGAGGGGGACTAGACTAGACTACATTTACATTTAGTCATTTTGCAGACGCTTTTATCCAAAGCGACTTACAATTGGGGGATACATAAAGCGATTCTTGTTAAAGAGGCAAACAGATACAGGAAGTGCCTGTAATACCAAGTTTCTAGACATTGTTCAAATAAGTACAAGCTAGAAAGAGAAGGAATAAATAAAGA